AGGATCACGAAAGAAAAGGCTTATTGGTGAAGTTGAAAAAGCAGTTATGAATGCTCAAACGAAGACCAGAAAATGCTCATTATGTGGTAAAAGAGAACCACACAACAGACGTACTTGTCCAAGTAGATTTAATGCTCAGAATTGATGAATAGACATTTTATTAGTTTTCAATTTTTTAAGTAAACAATGTTCATAACAGATGATAATCATTTGTGATTCAATTTATTTTTCCTCATTTAATTTTTTGGTTGTTTGTTTATAATTATATGTGATTCTAAAATTGTTTCAATAATTTGTCTATATAATAAGTATAAACTTTTAAAAAAAGATCTTAATCACATGTGATTGTATAATATCATATGTTTTTATATACATAATCAGATGTGATTTTACAATATCAAATTTGCACATGATAATCTAAGTATATTACACATGATAATATAAGTATTATTTTTATAATGTGTACATGTTTAATCATATGTGATTTTTCTTTTTGTGTATGTATATATTGCACATACGATATTATTTTTCTAATCACATGATAATCATATGTGGTTGAAGTAGAAAATATACAATGATCATATTTGATTATTTTTCTAATCACATGTGATTATTTTTCTAATCACACGTGATTACGTATATAATCACGTGTGATTGTCGATATCACATCTTATTGTACGAAGAACAAGGCATTTTATAACTGTTAGAAATATCAAAGTCATATGTGATTTTATAATATCATATGTTTTTATATACATATATAATCACATGTGATTTTATAATATCATATTTTCACATGATAATCTAACTATATTACATATGATAATATAAGTATTATTTTTATAATGTGTACATATTTAATCATATGTGATTTTTCTTTTTGTGTATGTATATATTGCACATAATAATCATATGTGGTTGAAGTATAAACCATACAATGATCATAGTTGATTATTTTTCTAATCACATGTGATTGTCGACATCACATCTTATTGTACAAAGAACAAGGCATTTTATAACTGTTCGAAATATCAAAGTCATATGTGATTTAAAATGAAATATTCTGTAAACTTTAATTTACAGTTAAAATACTTATCTATATTAATTTTCACAAATCCATGATATCATATATTGTCTTAATAAACTAGCAAGCATTCATGTAATTGAAAACTAAACATTATCTAAATAAGCAAACAATCAAATCATCCATTTACAGACAGTCTTTCAAACTTCAGTATTTGAATCTTGACCATCGCATCAAACCTCCCTTCGCATCAAACCTCTTCCCACATCTTCATCTTCTCATTCACCACTTTGACTTCCATTATCCTTATAGGCAATCACTCAACCTTTGATGGATTTCTGCACAAGCATTTCTTTGATCGCTTTCTTTCTTCTCTTTATTTTGTTTGTTGTACTCACTTGCAAGTTCCATGACATCATCATTCATCAAATTAATCTCATAATTTATAAATGCATGAGCATATTTGGTTCTCACCAAATCAAGCAGTGCATCTTGAGCTCCTTCCTTTGGGAATCCAGTTTTGTATTCTGGTTGAGCCATATACGTTTCCATGTATCTCATCACAAATATTCCACAGTCTCTTTTGTTATGTTTAGTTTTACATAACAGATCTGGTATTTGTGGTTTGATATTTGGATCTTGAAGGGCATAACATTTGGATGATTTATTTCATGCAGATATCTCAAGAAGTATTTTTTCTGAAAATTAAGAACAATAAAAAAATAAGAAAGTTAACCACATAAAATTAAACATAAAAAGATATTATTAATATTTACATAATCACATGTGATTACAAATATGAAATAATGTTTTCATTATTTTTTAATTCAAATGTATAATCAGATATGATTTGAAATGTTTATTCAAATGTATAATCACATGTGATTATTTTTATGTAATCACATGTGATTTATTTATATAATCATATGTGATTTATTCATATATGATTTATTTTATCTAATTATATGATTTTCTTATTTAATCACAGTTGATTTTTTACATAACATGTTTTTAAGTACAGGCATGTACTTTCCTTCAACAGTTGCATCTGATCTGCTGTATCCAACATGACAATGTTTGGATTTTTTATGTTGAAAATGTAGAGAAACATGTGTTCTTCCCGACAAACAGGGAAGAATATCTGCATTTAAATATTTAGTATCATATTTATGAATATATATAAAGAATAAGTTGATATTGAATAACTTACCAAATCAACATCTTTCAATTTTATTTTTTCTTCATCTCCATTGAACCAATCTATAAAGTATTTTTTGAATAGATTGTATCTATACTCATCTTTCTCCTTTGCTTCCTTTTCCATTTGTTCTTTTACTTTTTTGTCAATCTTTTTCCTTTTGTCATCTTTTTTTGGTTTAGGAAGTTGCTCATCCTCAATGTACTTTGTCTACATGTTAAATGATTTGTGGTTTTAGTGTATAATCATATATGAATTGAAATAGATAATATTATTTTAGTGATAGAATCATATATGTTTCACTTACAGTCATTTGGACAGACAAGAAAACTCTGTATGGAGAATTATTAATGTCTCGGTCCTTCTCATTGTAGTTGAGCAGTTCAGACCATGAGTCTATGACATCTGAAAATAGATATTCTCCGGGAAAAAAACTTTCAAATACATATCGGAATACGACTCTTTTGTTTATTGTGAATAACAACTGATCACTGTAAATATAAAAAAAATTGTAATTTCACTGTAAGTATAATGTTGAACAAGTATATTTAAGATATTTTTTTAATCACATATGATTAATCAATGATTAGAATGTATAATCACATGTGATTTACTAATATTAAACAAGTATGTTAATGTTTATTTTTTGTAAATGCTAATCAAATATTAATAACTTACTATACAGTTCCCTGCAAATGGAACAACCATTCACCAAGCATTTCCTCTTCTTTTGTTAACTTTGTTTTCAAGCAAATTGCTCTCTCTTTATATGGAGATCTCCTTACTTCGGCTGGTTTTTTCTTTCTTTGTTGCCGATGTTCTAGAGTTACATTTTGTTTTTCTGTAAGATCAGCCAAAGACTCTTTGTTTCGATTTTTTGAATTCACAATTTTTATCTTTGGGTGGTTCGTCGCTTTTGGATCTAGCGCATCTTTCACCAGATTTTCTTTTTCACCTTCATCTTTTTTTTTTGTTCAGCAGTATTCTGCAATTGATATATGGTTATAACAGTTAGAAAAATATTAGAATCATAATTTTAAATTTTTAATAATTACTGTTAATCACATATGATTGTAAGTTTAAATAATGTGATAATTAGTTTTAATCACATATTATTGTACGTCTAAGAAATAATAAAATCATATGTGATTACATTCATAAAGATTTGATTTTGTACGAACAGACAAAATAATATTTAATCACATATGATTGTACGTCTAAGAAATAATAAAATCATATGTGATTACATTCATAAAGATATGATACTGTACGAACAGACAAAATAATATTTAATCACATATGATTGTACGTTTAAGAAATAATAAAATCATATGTGATTACATTCATAAATATATGATATTGTACGAACAGACAAAATAATATTTAATCACATATGATTGTACGTTTAAGAAATAATAAAATCATATGTGATTACATTCATAAAGATATGATTTTGTACGAACAGACAAAATAATATTTACCTCTGTCATCTCTGGAGGTGTCAACTGACTTATATTGAGATCATATGAGGGCATCATACTCTCTTCTTTTTTATCTTGGTATTCTTTCATGGTCTTTTCATAAACAGAATTGAATTCATCATCATTTAACATTTCGTTAATGTTAAACTCTGATGTGTTTTCAAAAATACTTTCAATAACGTTTGTTATTGTTTTGTTCACATCTTCTTCAAAAATCACATAAACAAAATAAGTTAGTAGAAAAATCGTTTGTGATTATAAGTAAAATATATTGTTGTTTACCTTCTCCTTCAACATTTTGTTATTCTTCATTATAACCATCTTTTTCATTTTCAACACCTTCATCATGCAAATTAATGTCATCAAAACATTTATCGTTATTGACTGTCTTTTTAAGTATTTGTAATCAATTATGTTCACATGTGATTATAGGTAAATATTGATATGTTTTACTAAAACATATCAACATTTATAGACAATTATTAAGGAATAGTTTCATAATATTTAATCAATTACATCAAAAGATTTTTAAAATTTTCAAATTACATACAATAGAATTTAAATTAATCAATACATATACATAAAAAGTAATTATCATTCAATACAATATTTTTATCATTCAATACAATTTTTTCTCAGATAAATATGATTGGTACCTTCTCCTTGAACAACATTTGTTCCTTTGAATACTGCATATAAGTAAATTATGTTAGTTATCATATATGATTGTAAAAATATATTTTTTCATAATTTTATATATATAGAAATATATATTTTTTCCTTCTTTCTTTTCACCAATTTTCCCCTCCATATTTATCCCCTCTACACCTGATATATAATTATAAAAAATTATTAATCATATATGATTAAAAGAATTAATTACACATAGATATTATATTTATGTTATTATAATCACATGTGATTATAAGGTATGTAATAACATTTATAATCACATGTGATTATAACGTATTTAATAACACTGTTTTGTTAATTATAAGATATGATTTTCAGTATATTTATATTTACCTTCTCCATCTCTTTGTGGTTGTTCACCAGTTATTCCTTCTACTTTCTTATCATTCTTCCTTTTTATATTCATCCCCTCCACAACTGAATACAATTAAAAAGAAATTATTAATGATTTGTGAATGTAATCATACGTGTTTACATAAATTATAATTACATTTGATTACTTTATTAATATATAGTGTTGTTTACCTTCTCCTTCAGCATTTTGTTCTTTATTATTACCACCTTTTTCATTTTTAACACCTTCATCATTCAAATTCATGTCATCCTAACTGTGATCATTATTATCATTTTCATCTTTCTCACCATCTGCATATATAAAAAAATTGTAGTTAATCACATGTGATTTGCATATAATAAAAAATTGTTTTTAATCACATGTGATTGTAAAAAGTTACTTTTTAAGAATCACATATGATTGAGTAATCATATGCTACTAAAAAAAATATTGTACAAATATATTTGTATTGTTATGTGAATATAATCACATGTGATTACAAGAGATGTAATCATATATAATTATTATGTGTACAAATATATTATATTGTTATTTTCAGTATATTTATATTTACCTTCTCCATCTCTTTGTGGTTGTTCACCAGTTATTCCTTCTACTTTCTTATCATTCTTCCTTTTTATATGCATCCCCTCCACAGCTGAATACAATTAAAAAGAAATTATTAATGATTTGTGAATGTTTACATAAATTATAATTACATTTGATTACTTTATTAATATATATTGTTGTTTACCTTCTCCTTCAACATTTTGTTCTTTATTATTACCACCTTTTTCATTTGCAACAGCTTCATCATTCAAATTCATGTCATCCAAACCTTTATCATTATTATCATTTTCATCTTTCTCACCATCTGCATATATAAAAAATTTGTAGTTAATCACATGTGATTTGCATATAATAAAAAATTGTTTTTAATCATATGTGATTGTAAAAGGTTACTTTTTAAGAATCACATATGATTTAGTAAAATATTACTTACCTATTATTTTAATAGCTTCACCTCCCTCATCTTTATTTTTTTCGTTTCTGTTCCTCTCCTCCTTCAAGATGCTCATTTTCTTGTCCCGTAACTGCATATAATTTAAGATAAGTATTTAATCACATGTGATTGTATACGTAATCACATGTGATTGTATAGAGATTTTTTTAAATACACTTACCTCTTTCAATATTTTTCCCTCCTACATTCTTTTTCTTTGATTGATCATTGTCATCTCCATTGTCATCATCATCATCACTATTGTCACTCTTATCTTTAAAAATTGCATCAAAGCTAATTTTCAAATGATAAAGCGTTATATTTTCTGGGAATTTATTTATACCATCTTCAATCATCATATGTAACTTCTTATACTTATTCATAACCACATGCTCATAAGACTACATAATAAATGAATTAAAATATATATTAATATATATAATGTAACATGTAAAGTATTAGTAAATAATAATGAGTTTTCATATAATTGTTGCAATTAAATTTACCTCCTCATTCAATTCTTCATCAACATACTCATCATTGAAATCCCCTGTTCCAAAATCACCAAGCTCATCCTTTTCAAAAGTTTCTCTCATCTTTATTTTCTCTAAAGTCCAATGGCAGATCACTGGACGTGTTCTTTCAATGTTAAGTACATCAGATTTAATTCTGTCTAGATAAAGCAACTGCAAAAAAGAAATTATTAATTTTGTAACAAATTATACTAATCATATATGATTTAAGAATATGACATTTAAATCACATGTGATTATAGATACTCATGTTAGAACATACATTATAAATAAATAAAAATCATATGTGATTTTAAAGATATTTAAATAGTGTAAAACATATTAAACATACCACCAAATAAGCAGATGGTCCATTAAAATTGCTTGTTGGATTTGATGGATTAAAAGACTGTTTGTTTTTAACCAAACAGTCTATCAGATAAGAACACCAGTCGATGTTTTCTATTTTCGTCTTGCTTATTATGTAGTTCAATGGGTTGGTGTTTGCTTTTCCTGAAGAGCTTGATTCTATCAGCGAGTTGATCAACAAAGCTATGAAATTCATCTTGAAATTCATGTCTGCCTTGTTGGTGGAAACATTCTTCATCTTTATATCTTGAAGTCGAATCATCTTCTTGTCATCAAACTGGTTTGTCCATTCTTCATAACACTTATCTTCTGTTGTTCTGAATTTAAGTTTTGAAAACTGTTTTCTTCCCAAAGGAAATCCAAGAATTTCTTTGACGGATTCTTTGGTGACATCAATAACTCCTTTTTGAAGAACTATCTTCTTTGTTTCGGAGTTAAAATTCTTAAGAACAAAGCAGCTTAAGGCCCCTGGGACCTCTGTCATCTTCATATTTAATATTCCCCCAAAACCCATCTGTTTAACACAATTTTTTTGTACTTCATTGAGGCCTTGTATAACAGACAACAAAGCTCCAGGTGTACATCTATCATCAAATATATCACATAATGAATTTAATTCATATGTTATGATAATAATTAATGAATGTATTATACATGTTTTATAATTTGATCACATGTATGTTAACTGAAAAATACATGAAATATGTTTTGAATAATCACACATGATTGATTTTTGAATCATATGTGACTTAATAAATTTTTATATAATCACATTTTCGTATATAAAAGATATTAATCACATGGTGATTCATCTTTGAATCATATATGATTAAATAAATTATCTTATTTGTATATTGATTTTTTTTCATACATAAAAGATATTAATCATATGTGATTTAATAAAGGTATTAGTATATCACATATGATTTAATAAAATTATTTTTTTGTATAAAGTTGTTAATCACAAAGTTATACCTGTTTCTGATTGTATCAAAATGCTTCTTTATTATCTTCTTCTTTCTTTTCTTTATATCTTTTTTGCAGAATCGGAATCATCTTCATTTTCATCAAGTAGTTGATCTTTACTTTTTAAAGATATTGCTTTTCTCTTTCTTGACTCAGTTTTCTTTTCAGCTGTTATGAAAATAATAATCATATACTAATTGAGAATCAAGTAATAATTAATAATTATGTGATTTTAAATACATATTACAATCATATGTGATTGAATTATACATTTGTCGTGTTTTAACTTGGACCTTGTTTCTGTTGTGTCTTCTTCATTTGATCTTTTTCCTTTTCCTTTAGAGAGACAAATTATAAAAAAAGGGATAATCATATAATCATATGTTTATAACATGTCTTCATAAACCATATGTGATTTAAATATACCTTTTTTTTTCTGTTGCTGTTTGCTTTTCTTCTGTGAATACTACAATAGCTGTAATCAAATTCATATTTGTATACAAATCAATAATAAATAAGTATAAATATAGATAAAAGTCAGAATCAATAAAAGAATGGTATTATAATAAAGCTTAAAGTGTTATTGATTGATGTTAATCATATGTGATTGATGATGTTTTTTGCATATAAAAGCAGGTAATCACATTTGATTAAAAACATATGGTGTTATGTTTATGTGTATAATCATATGTGATTGAGCAATACCTTTCATATTTTTTTGTTATGTTGTTATCTTTGTTTCTTCTGTTACACTGTCCTTTTTTTCGCTTTTTGTGCTTTTGTTTTGGATTTTCTGAGATATATAAAAATACATATATAATCAGAAAATGACAAAGTCAATTTCAATCAGATGTGATTGAACACAGTCATATTATTTATCACCTTCGTTCGTGATTTTTGTATTTGTCCTCCTTCTGGAAATTTTTTTTTTCAAACGTTTTAGTATCATCTACAATTTCAAACGGACTTTATTTACACAATACAAGAATTACAGAACACTAAATCGAGAAATTAAACTTTAATATTCGTAAAATTGAGAGTTTAGTCGTAACTTTTAAATAAATGCATATTTCATGTATGTTGAATAAAGCCATAGTAGAAAAACTATATAGTCGCAACGAGGGTTTTAGTTTGAAATAACGTTTGAATAAATGCAGATTTCATGTATATTTAACAAAAAAAAATTTCAGTAAATTGTTCGACATCGAAACTAGGGTTTGATTTCAAAAAAACTTTTGAGTAATGTCGATTTCCTGTATATTGATGAAACTAACAATATTCGAGTGATATTCATAAAAAAACTCGATAATAATGATAATCGAGTGATATTCAGCAAAAAAAAAAGTCAAATATGCGTTGTGATACCTTTGGATGAGGGTTTTAATGGCGATATCTCTTTTTTGACGACATTTCTTCGTTTTCGTTGAAAATGTTTGAAAAATGATGAAATGCTAGAGAGAGAAGAGGGTTTTCTGTTGAGAGAAATGATGTATTTTGATGGCGTAAATGGAAGATTCCGATTATGTATGCACAATTCAGTTTATATTCCTTTTTACAATTATACCCACTTATTTTCTAAATGTGATATGTTTGGAACCAATTGTTAAGTTATTTACAATTATGCCACCTTCTAAATTCTACATATAAATCCCGTGGGGGTTAGGTAACAGAAAACTATTTAGCTTGTATAATTTGTCACATTTTTTCAACTTTTATCCAGATTGAGCCAATACTTTTATTTTTACACATGATAATCTAACTATTATTATTTGTTTTTGTAATCATACATGATTGATGTATAAATCATACATTGTCCTTAATAAATGCAATTTAATCACATGTGATTTAAAAATTGTTTTTTGTATGTGTAATCATATATGATTGATGTATAAATCATACATTGTCGTTAATAAATGCAAACTAATCATATGTGATTAAAAAAACTGTTTTTGTATTTGTAATCATATATTATTGATGTATAAATCATACCTTGTCCTTAATAAATGTAAACTAATCATATGTGATTAGTTTCAATATTTTATTGGATACATATAATCATATGTGATTATTTTTCTAATCACATGTGTTTATGTTAATGTTTATATGTTTAATCACATATTTTTTTCTTTTATATTTATAGTCATATGTGATTGAGTATTCAAAAGTTTTTTTGTTTTTGTAATCATACATGATTGATGTATAAATCATACATTGTCCTTAATAAATGCAATTTAATCACATGTGATTTAAAAATTGTTTTTTGTATGTGTAATCATATATGATTGATGTATAAATCATACATTGTCGTTAATAAATGCAAACTAATCGTATGTGATTTAAAAATTGTTTTTGTATTTGTAATCATATATTATTGATGTATAAATCATACATTGTCCTTAATAAATGCAAACTAATCATATGTGATTAGTTTCAATATTTTATTGGATACATATAATCATATGTGATTATTTTTCTAATCACATGTATTTATGTTAATGTTTATATGTTTAATCACATATTTTTTGCTTTTATATTTATAGTCATATGTGATTGAGTATTCAAAAGTTTTTTTGTTTTTGTAATCATACATGATTGATGTATAAATCATACATTGTCCTTAATTAATGCAATTTAATCACATGTGATTTAAAAATTGTTTATAATCACATGTGATTATATATATGCTCAAACATTTAAGCTTCACATATCCATATTACTTATCCATATTAAGCTTCACATATCCATGATATCATAAATGTGCTCAAACATTTATATAATTAAAACCTAATAATTGTCTTTAATAAATTACCAAGCATTCATCTAATAAAAAGGTAAACATTGTCTAAGTAAACCATCAATCGAATTATGCATTCACATACTTCACCATTTTCGATCTTAAACTTCACATGAAACCTCTTCTCACAATAACACTGTTCTCTCAATCTTTAACATTGTCATTATCTTCATCTTCATCATCACCTTCATCATCTTCATCATCATCATCATCATCATCATCATCATCATTATTTCTGTTGTCTTCTTGAGCAATTTGATCTTCATCATTAAAAAATTCATCGAGCATACTTTTCAAATGATTCAATCTTACACTTGTTGGGAAGTTATTGATTCCATTTTCAATCAACAAATTGATTTTCCTAATCTTCATCAAAATCATTTGTTCATAGTCCTAAATCAGAATTAATTTGAAGTTTATATTAGCAATATATATCTTTAAACATTATAACTATTAAATAATGAGATTTTTTTTGTATAACTGCTATAAATACATTTACCTCCTGGTTAATATCTTCTTCAACAAAATCTTCATTTAAATCTCCTGTACCAAATTGCTTGACTATTTCTTTTTCATAAATTTCTCAAAGCTTCATTTTTTCTGATGTCCAATGACAGATAACTGGTCGTTTTCTTTCAGCAATAACAACACTGCAATGGACTCTATCTACATAAAGCAACTGAAAAAAAAAAGAAATATTTGTTATTATAATCACATGTGATTAAACTATTATGTATTTATAATCATATGTGATTTAAAACATTTTACTGATAAACCACATATGATTATAAATGTTATTAAATAAAAGAGATGTTATAAAGCATACCACGAAAAAGGCAGATGGTCCAACAAAATTGCTTGTTGGATTGGATGAATCAAAAGATCGTTTTGTTTTAACCAAACAATTAAGCAAGTAGGAGCACCAGTCAATGTTGCTTATGTTTGTATTCTTCATGATGTAGTTTAAGGGATATGTGTTTGCTTTTCCGCATGAGCTTGATTCTATAAGAGAGTTGATCAACAAAGCAATGAAGTTCATCTGGAAGTTCATATCCGCATTGTCCGAGGCGACAATATTCATTTTAATCTCATGCAATCTAATCATTTTTTTTGTTTTCAAATTGTTCAGTCCATTCATCATAACATTTATCATTTTCTTTTCGAAATGGAAGTTTTGAAAACTGTTTTTTTCCCAAAGGAAATCCTAGCATTTGATTCACTGATTCTCTTGTCACATCAATCTCAACCCCCTCTCGAAGAACAATTTTCATTTTTGTTGGATCAAATTTATCTACAACATAACGGCTTAATGCCCCTGGCACTTCAGTCATTTTCATTTTCAATAGATCACCAAATCCCATTTGTTTCACACAATCTTTTTGGATTGTATTGAAACATTGGATGATTGATAACAACGCTCCAGGTGAGCACCTATATTATCAAAAATAACAATTAATGAATTAAATTATATTTGATTTAAAACAAATTAATCAAAGAGTTTTCAAATCATATATGATTTTATTCATATATATAATAAAATCATATGTGATTGATTAATCCGATATGTGATTTTTCCTGTCTTAAAACATACTGTCATTAAGAAAGCTATACATGTTTCTAATTGTATCAAAATGCTTATTTACAATCTTCTTCTTTCTCTTTTTAGTCTCTTTTGTTTCAGAAACTGAATCTTCAGCTCTTCTTTTCTTTTTTGATTCGTTTTTCTTCTCTGGTCCTATAAAAGATGTTAATGAAGTCATAATAAGTAAATAAAAAATGATTATACAAATAGTTAATAAATAAGCATATATTTTTCAATATCTATTTTAATCACATGTCATTGAAGGAATATTGTTTTTAAATAATGTGTATAACATATAGATATAAATCACATATGATTAAAACAAGTCATGATAAATAAAGCATACAATATTTATAATAAAAGATATTCATTTATGATTGGATTGTATATAATCATTTGTTAATCACATGTTATTAACAATCCTAAAATATTGTTTAATCACATGTGATTAGAATCTCTATAAAAGATGTTAATGAAGTCATAATAAGTAAATAAAAAATGATTATACAAATAGTTAATAAATAAGCATATATTTTTCAATATCTATTTTAATCACATGTCATTGAAGGAATATTGTTTTTAAATAATGTGTATAACTTATAGATATAAATCACAGATGATTGAAACAAGTCATGATAAATAAAGCATACAATATTTAAAATAAAAGATATTCATTTATGATTGGATTTGCTTGTGTGTATCAGAGATTCTAATCAAAATGTCAATTAATCAGATTTTAGGATGTTTATGTGTATAATCATTTGTTAATCACATGTTATTAACAATCCTAAAATATTGTTTAATCACATGTGATTAGAATCTCTAATACAAACATACATATCCAATCACAAGTGAGTATCATATGTCTTTTCTGAATCGTTTTGGATTATTGATATATATTAATATATATAATCATTTGTGATTGAAATATACATTTTTTAGCTATAATTCTTGGTGATTTTCTTCTTGTTTTGCTTTCGTTAGGTTTTTTTTGTGTAGGATTTTCTTTGTTTTTTTTCTGAAAAAAAATACATATATAATTAGAAAATCATATTTGATTATACACATAAAATATATGAATCAAAACTGATTATTGAATAATTTTACTGTTACCATTTTGAGTTTGTCTTCTTGCTGTTGCTTTTGGAAATTTTTGAGTAGTCGTTTCTTCAGGTTTTGGCTGCTCTTTATTGGTTTCTGAGATGTACAAATAGATGTATTATAAGAAAATCATATATGATTATTAAAAGCCATGAAAAATAAATAATATGTTAATCACATGTTATTAACAATCATAAAATATTGTTTAATCAATGTGATTAGAATCTCTAGTATATAATCATATGTTAACCACATGTTATTAACAATCCTAAAATATTGAAAGCATGTTTATGTATATAATCATATGTTAATCACATGTTATTAACAATCCTAAAATATTGTTTAATCACATGTTTATGTATACAAACATACAAATCCAATCACAAGTGAGTATCATAAAAGACATAAAAGAACATTGTTTAATCAGATGTGATTAGAATCTCTAGTACAAACATACAAATCCAATCACAAGTGAGTATCATATGTCTTTTATGAATCGTTTTGGATTATTGATATATATTAATATATATAATCACATGTGTAGGCTTTTCTTTGTTTTTTTTCTGAAAAAAAAATACATATATAATTAGAAAATCATATTTGATTATACACATAAAATATATGAATCAGAACTGATTATTGAATAATTTAACTGTTACCATTTTGAGTTGGTCTTCTTGCTGTTGCTTTTGTAAATTTTTGAGTAGTCGTTTCTTTAGGTTTTGGCTGCTCTTTATTGGTTTCTGAGATGTACAAATAGATGTATTATAAGAAAATCATATATGATTATTAAAAGTCATGAAAAATAAATAATATATTGTTTATATAGATTGTGATCACATGTGATTCAATCTTTGTTCTATGTATAAATATAATCACATGTGATTCAATCATTTTCGAGATTATAACATCAGCAAATCATATATGATTGCAAACGTTCATTATAAGTAAGAATTCATCAGCAAATCATATATGATTGAACATAGTCATATGATTTATCACCTTCATTTATTTTTTTTTGAATCTATCATCTTTCTGGAATGTTTTTTCTCAAACGTTTACACAAACCGACTTTATTTACACAATAAATGAATAACAGAACACTAAATCAATAAATTAAACGTTAATACTAGTAAAACTGAGTGTTATTTAAGAGAAAACTATAGTAAATTGTTCGACATCGAAACTAGGGTTTGATTTCAAATTTTTTTTTTGAATAATGCCGATTTACTGTATATTGATGAAACTAACAGTAGGAAAACTCGAAAATCGAGTGATATTCATCAAAAAAAAGTTGATAATCATGAAATCGAGTGATATTTAGCAAAAAAAACGTCAAATATGCGTTGTGATACCTTTCGATGAAGCTTTTGATGGCGTTTTCCCTGTTTTTGACGACATTTTCTTCGTTTTCGTTGAAAATTTTGAAAATGGATGAAATGTTGGAGAGAAGCGAGGGTTTTCTGTTGAGAGAAAAATGAGGGTTTTTGTTTTCGCAAATCGAGTTTCCTGGCAATGTATGTTTGGAAACAGTTTATATTCCTTTTAACGATTATAGTCCCTTATTTTTTAAACGTGATATATTGGAACCAATTGTTAAGTTATTTACAATTATGCCACCTTGCAAAATTAAAATGTAACTTTTGTTCTCAAATGTTCTCGCGGGAAAAATGTTCTCGATTGGACGCTCCCCTATATATATATATATATATTCGAGTTTCTTTTAGCCTTAAAGCAATTAACATTTTTAGTACCCACAAAATTTCACAACTTATAGTCACAAGCACCTTGTATTTAGACTCAGTAAAAGATCTGGAAACAACAGGCTTTTTTTTTTACTTTCCCATGAAATTAAAAAATATCCTAAAAGTTAGCCAAAAAATAGTAATAGGCTATTTTTTTACTTTCCCATGAAATTAAAAAATATCCTAAAAATTAGCAAAAAAAATAGTAATAGATCGTCCTGACTAGTACACATTACCCATCTTCATCAGCATTAAGGCACACTGATCCAGATATACAAATATTAGCACCTTTATTAGGAAACAATTTTTAGATACCTCAATTGTAACATCCTTAATTAAGGGTAATTTTAAATTATAATTAATTAAAAATAAAATGAATAAGTTATAAAAACAAATAAACTAAAATGATAATTATTATGAAAAGCTCAATATTTAACATGAAAATCAAAAAGTAAGATTAATATTAGACTTCAAAGATAAAGACAATATATGAGGGACAAGTTTTGTCAAATAGCAAAGTTTAATGACTAGTGTGACCTACTTAATGACCAATTAACTAGAAGGAAGTATTATTGAGGTTAAAATGGTAAAGAAAGAAGTTCCACAATAAACTTGGTCAAATGATACCATTGAAAGAAAAATGATCATAACCTCAAATATACATGTTTCGACCTGCATAAAGCTAAGCACGCCTCTTTTTTTATCCATTGTACCGAGAGAAAACGAAAGTGAAAGAGGGGTTGTAACAACTAGGGTTTTAGGAAAAAAAAAAGCTTTAAGCGTGTCTCTTCGAGATTCTAGGCCACCCAATGTCTGTTCAAACCATTCATTCAACCTTACATTACTTTTTGTCTGTTCCCCACCAATGTGGAGGCCGGAGTTGCCTCTAGTGATCCTGAAACAGCCAGAATACCGAGTTTAGCGGGATTCTCTATTTTGGTTCGTCTGCAGCCGTTTTGAACGGGTTTTAGACCTTGATATCTCTTACTAAAGTTGTTACCTAGTCCCCAAAACACTTAAGAACAAATATGGTCTACTATTACCTTAAAAATCATCTTAAAATGCCCTCGGAGTTTCTTATACACCATTGTAGCGAGCTTCTCATGTCTTAACTGTTTCAAATGTGGGGGTTAAGTTATGGACCCATATCTTTCTTGGTTGAACTTCCTTAGTATGTCCCTAATGTGTTTTATCCTTCTAACAAGCTTGGATTGAGCCAGATTTAGCTCTAAATCAATAGAAATGACCATGCATCCTTTTTAGCTTAATAATCATGTTGGTTTCTTAAAAGGATTAAATGCAAAAGAAATGAAAGATTAAAGTTAGGTGTGTCTTTGGTGTATGTAAACCTAAGAATATGTTTATGAAAATATGAATAAAAGTGTGTGTATGTGTGTGTCAATTAATAGATATATGTATGTATAAGTTTATAGTACATGGGTGTGAAGTATGTTAAACTAATGACCATTATTAATACACATGTGTATAGAATGGTAAAGAGACGTTAAAAAGAAGCTTAAGGGGTATAAATGTAATAAAGATGTTAATTAATATAATATCAACCTAATTATGTGTTAGTAATATGTAAAAGTGTTTAAACACTAAGAAAAACCATGTGAATGATCATTAGGATGTTAAAGGTGGGTAAATTGA